TCTTTTTTTTTGTTTTTAAGTTTATTTATTTATTTTAAGAGAGAGAGAGAGAGAGAGAGAAAGCACAAGTCAGGGAGGGGCAGAGAGAGAGGGAGAGAGAGAATCCCAAGCAGGTTCTGCACTGTCAGTACAGAGCCCGATGTGGGGCTCAAACTCACGAACCATGAGATCATGACATGAGCCAAAGTGGGACATTTATCTGAGCCACCCAGGCACCCCAACCCTACATCTTATCTCAGCATTTAGTGGGGCCTGGACCCATTCATCCCAGTGGAATGGGGTGGACTAGGAAGATCATCCTGGGGAGAAAAACTGCTGAAAACGCCCCGGGAAAGACCAGGCCTGGAGGCAGATCACAGTGTCTGAAGAGTCCCAATCAGCAGTTAGCACTAAGAGTACAAGGCAAAGTCACAAATCCTGATGGTGACAGGTGACTCTCAGCAGACTGGGAGAGCAGTTGGCATTAGGAAGCCTTCTGCAAAAGCAGTGCCCTGAGCCTAAGGCCCTTGGGAGGAGGTGGGAGAGCAAGGCAGGGCTTGCTGTATGCATTGCAGCACCAAGCATCCCACTGCATCAAGGATAGAGACAGTGGTGCAGGAATGGTTACCAGCACCAGACATCAAGTCGGAGAAGGCAGGGCTGAAGCATAAGCCGCACACTGCAGGGCTAGAGGGGTTAAGATGTCTAGTGGGAAGGAACTTGGGCACAGGGAGAAAATTGGAGCTGTGACAGTCACAGCTGCAGAGAGACTGATATGCTGAGGCTGGGAGTCAGTCTGGCCACTGTCTCCTGCTGTGATTCCCAACCCTAGTTTGCCCTCTCAGCCAGTATATACAAGATGATTTGAAGTTTGAAGGCTGCCTTCACCCAGAGCCTCTGGTTGGCCTATGGAGGAGTCAGGGCTTCTGACTTCCCAAATGAGCTCACCATGGTCCCCCAAGGCCCACCCCCCACATTGCTCAATTCTTTCCAGGACACTGGAAGGTAGGCAGATGTGCCAAAGGCTGGGTTTTCTGAGCCCTTCCAAAGGACCTTTCTTTGTGGTGTAACCAAAATAAACTTTAATAGCTTCCACAGACACACCTGGCTTCCTATGCTGGCTCCTATATGCCCATATGGGGACCTAGAGGGTTTGTATGCATCTCTGTTCTTTCACAAGACCTGCACAGTGCCTTGTTACAGCAGATGTTTGGTCAGTATTTATGGGATGTAAAACAACACCCCCATGTAGCTGAATGCCTAGAGACCATGGGCCACTGCTGTTTCCCACTCTTGGGACAGGGCACACCTATCAGATAATGGGATAGTGCAAGTCCCATATGCGAGAGGCTGAGCTAGGCTGACAGCCTTTGGGACTAGGGACTGGTCCGTGGTGACCTCTTTGTCTTCATTGTTTGACCTGTGGTTATCGAGGTGAATGGCCCCCCAAATCCATTCACCACCTTGCTTCATGAATGCAATGCATGGTGCATGGTAGACACTTTTTGTAGGTTGGCAGATGAGAAAAAGGTTTTAGGAATCTTGTAGAAAAGGAAACCTTGGAATCAGAGCTAAGGAGTGCAGAAGGATCTTATCCTGATCATGTATGCTGCCTGTACCAGCTAGGATTTTTTCTCTTCTTAATACCTTTACATAGAGTAAAGATTGGGGTCAGCTTCATGCATGGAGCTTTCTTCAGCTTTAGAAGTGACTGCACAGCTTCCTAGGCATGGTGTCCTTTTGGGTAAGTGAGGCTAGATAGAGGTCGTCTTTGCTTTGGTACCATTGACTGGTCACTGGAGTGTAATGCTTGGATCGCACATCCTCAGATGAGGGCCAGTCACAGAAATAACTCCTCCCTAAGCCTCTCTCCCCAGGTCCCCTGGTGCCTCCAAGGTCCTCAGAGAAGGAGGCTTCCAGCTTCTCTCCCTGGCCTAACCTCATTCCCCTCTACCACCTTCCCTGGGGGGCTTTCTCAAGTGAACCCTTTAGCCTTTCTCTGAGCAGAAGGTTTCCACCCAGAGTGTCAGCCTCAGCTTCTTTCCAGAGGTCTGGGATATTTTTTTTTTTTTTTACCAATATTATTACGTTTTGCTGTTTTCAAAATAGTACGTGCCAATGGCATACATTTTTGAAAGTATAAACAAGCACAAGAAAGGAAAGAATTAACTGTTTGTAATCCAGCACCCTGTCATAATTGCCGCCAATTCTGGTGCCTTCCTTGAATCTCCCCTCTTAACACACAGGCATGAATAAGTTTTAATTTTAAAAATGTGATCACACTATCTATTCTTCTCCCACTTGTTCTCCTCAGCCCACGGTTTATCGTGATCACATTTCTCTTATTAACCACTCTTCCACAATATTATAAGCAGCTGTATAGCATTCTGTTGTGTGGATGTACCACAGTTTACGTAAGCAGTTTTGTTTTGTGGAACCTCTAGATTGACTCCTATTTTTGTGTTGTCTGCCATGATTCTTTCCTTAGGATGAATTCCAAAAAAAGTAATTACTGGGTTTAAGGATTTGTGCTTTTAAAGACTTTTAACGCATTTTTATCAAACTGCCTTCCAAAAAAAATCCTCTCTAGAACTGTATGAAAGTACCTATTTTTTCTGCAGCCCTTAAAAATGCAGTGTTTTAATAGTTTCTGGAGGAGTCAAGCTTATTTGGTAATTAAAAGTTTTAACTTTTTGTTTTAATTTGAAGCTCCCTGATTTCTAGAGAGATTGAGGCAGAGAGAGGGAGACAGAATCCCAAGCAGGCTCTGTGCCATCAGCACAGAGTCCGATGCAGGGCTTGAACTCACGAATGTGGGATCATGACCTGAGCTGAAGTCAAAAGTTAGATGCTTAGCTGACGGATACACCCAGGTGCCCTTTCTTTTCTTTTTAAAAATTTTATTTGAGAGAGAGAGAGAGAGAGAGAGAGAGAGAGAGAATCCCAAGCAGACTTCAAACTCAGTGAAGAGTCTGATGTGGGGCTCGATTCCACAACCCTGGGATCATGACCTGAGCTGAAATCAGCCATTGGACACCCAATTGACTGAGCCACCCACGCACCCCTTGTGTTTATTTTCATGTGAATTGACTAGAAGATCCTTTGTCCAATGCTAAATGGAAGATGTTTGCCTTTCTCTTATAGGTTTATAAGAGCTCTCTGCATATTAAGGATATTCACTTTTGTCCATATATGTTAGACATGTACTTCTCAGCTTATCATTTGCCTTTCTATTTTACTTATGATATTTATTTTTTTTTAATTTTTTTTTCAACGTTTATTTATTTTTGGGACAGAGAGAGACAGAGCATGAAGGGGGGAGGGGCAGAGAGAGAGGGAGACACAGAATCGGAAGCAGGCTCCAGGCTCCGAGCCATCAGCCCAGAGCCTGACGGGGCTCGAACTCACGGACCGCGAGATCGTGACCTGGCTGAAGTCGGACGCTCAACCGACTGCGCCACCCAGGCGCCCCACTTATGATATTTATTAACTGGAACTGCACTACTCTCTGCTTGCCTGACATCTTTTTTTAGATGACTCAATGATATTTCAAATTTCACAAATCCAAATGGAAACTCATTATCCCCCCCATCCCACCTGCTCTTCCTGCTGACTTGCTTATTCCTGTTAATGTCGCCACCATTTTGCTAGTCACCCAGACTTGAAATGTTGAAGCCATCTTGGGTTCCAACGTTTCTCTTTCCCCCATATCTCATCAGCTACCAACTCCTGTGGATTCTATTTCTGCAATTTCTCTGGCAGGCAGGCCCTCTAATACAACAGTGTTCAGGTTATCATTATTTCTTGACTGGACTTTGAAAATGGCCTCATAATATCATATGCCTCCCCAATCCCCAGACCCTTGATGTGACATTTCTCCTCCTTGCCCCACCTGTACACTGCCACCACATTAATCTTCCTAAAGTAGAGCTCAAACATAGAACTCTCTGGTTACACACCACCAACAGCTCCCCATTGTCTTGTATTTAATTACAATCTCTTAGTCTGGCCTTAATTTCCTTTCAATGGAATCTCCCACTATTTTGGCCAAGTTGCTCCTCAAATAAGCATGCTGCTTTCCCACCCCTTTACATTTTTGTTCAAGCTATCCCCTTCTCTCAGAATTCCCTCCCACCAGCTCCACCTACCAAAATCCATTCAGAAAGCACTCCACCTACCCCACTGCCTATCCCAAGCGCTTCTGATTTTTAAAATGGAAGTGAATTCTCTCCTTTGAAACCCCTACGACAATTTGCTCAAGCTTCCCTTATAAAGCAAATCTTATTCTATCATCTAGTGGAGCCCTCAAAGGTCTTATATTCCTACCAGAAATCAGAGACCTTTGAGGGCACTCTTCTTATATGTCTGTTCTTCCACAGGACCTGCACAGTGCCTTGCTGAAGTCAATGCTCAGTAGGTATTTATGGAATGAAAAGCAACATCCCCAGGTAGCTGAATGCCTAGGGATTATGGGCCACTGCTGTTTCCCACCCCACTCCCAGCCTCCTGGGACAGGGTACACCTATCAGCTATGGGCAGAGTGCCAAGTCCCCTCTGCCAGAGGCTGAGCTAGGCTGACAGTCTTTGGGACCAAGGACTGGGCCACAGTCACCTCTTTATCCTCATGATCTGTAGTTATTGAGGTGAAAGGCCATCAGATCCACTCATTCCTTTGCTTCATGAATGCAACGCATGGTGCGTGGTAGAATGTAAATTGGCAGCTGGGAAAAGAAATCTCACAGACCTCATGGAAAAGGGAAACTTCAAATCAGAGTTGAATGGCAGCTAAGGGGTGCCGGAGGCTCCTGGGACCCTGACCATGCATGCTGCCTGGACCAGCTAGGACTTTTTCTCTCTTTAATATATTTAAATAGAGTCAAGATTGGGGTCAGCTTCATGCACAGAGCCTTCTTTAGCTTTAGAGGTGACTCTGCAGCCAGCACGGGAGTATGCAATTGACACAGTCTATTTTTAGCCTCCCAGAGACCGTGCCCAACATCCCAAGCTGAGGGTGGGCACACCTGCTGCATTCTAATGAAGCAGCCCCGATTGCCTCTGCCAGCCAGCCGGGATCTCGCCGACCTCAAATCTGATGTTGCTAAACTGGGAAGTCTGCTTATTTCCCAAAGGCTGTAGCCTAGATACACCAGGAAAATGGGACCATTACACTCCCCTGAGCTCACTGTCTTCCAGCCCAGGGCACAGGGCAGTCTTGGGGCTGTATGAACAGCATAATGAAGAGATGGAATCCCTTGGGTTTCTTGATCTTGCTCTGTCCTAGGGTCTCCCTATTTCCCTTGATGGGAAGAAGATTAGTAAGTCTGAGCTGATTCAGCTCACAAATGAGAAAATTGAGGCACAAAGCAGGGAAGTGTTTATGTAATCTGAATAATAATTATAATGGTAACAATAATAATAATAACAACAACAATAGAGCTTACTATTGCAAGGCAGTGTTCTAATGCTTCATGTACATGAACTCACCCAAACTTCTTGACCACTCTCTCAGATGGGTTTTGTCATGATCTCTATTTTATGGAGGAGGAGACTGAGGCCCAGTGATGACAAATGACTTCTAAAGGTCATTTGTCAGCCACCAAACAGCAGGGCTGTGTTTCAAAGCCAGGCAGTGAGGCCTCAGGATTTACCGTGACACCTGCCTCTCAATATCTATTTTTAATTTTACTAGAGGCAGGATTGGGATCCAGGAGTCCCAGAAGACCAACTACTGGATAGTACTCCTTCTCTATTTTTAATTTTTATTTATTTTTAAATTAAATAAAGTTATTTTATTTTTGAGAGAGATGGCAGTGGGGGGGGGGAGGGGCAGAGAGAGGGAGACACAGAATCCCAAGAAGCTAACAGCTGCTAACAGCATGGAGTCTGATATGGGGCTCGAACCCAAGACACTGTGAGATCATGACCTGAGCCGAAATCAAGAGTCGGACGTTCAACCGACTGAGCCACCCAGGTACCCCACTATTTTTTAAACTTCTGTCCTGCTTTGAAACCTTTGCTGTGCTGCTCACACACCTGGATTCCTACACTCCAGGGAGAGAAGTTTCTTCTCCTGGGATGACTACCCTTCTGCAGTCAAGCTGAAATTTTGGGCCCCAAAGCTCCCTGAACTTCTTCTCTTTCTCCCCTTAGCCTATAGAGGAAGAGGGCCTGGCTGGTGATTGGCAGCTGCAGTGGGGTATAGAGCCAGGCTACATGGTGGGGCTGGGAACCCAGAAAGAACAGTGATTGGTTGTGTGCAGGCAGGAGGCCACCATCAGTGTGGGTATTCAAGCTCAGAGTAAACTTCTGCCAAAGTTCAGAATAAAGTTTACAGAAGCCAGGAGGGAAGAAAAGAGGTGTGAGACCCCAGAACCTAAGATACCTGCTTCTGTTGGTGGGGAGGGAGGGCAAGTGCTGCCTGCTGGGGGAGAAGCCCAGAGACTCATCTAAGCATGCAGGTGGGACTCAGTTTAACAAACACCTATTATGTGCTAAGCCTTTTTATAAGCCCTTCACAAATACAACTATTTAGTCCTCAGGATGACTCTAGGAGATGGGGATCATTTTATTCCCCTTTGAGAGATGGGGAAACCAAGCCACTGAGAGGTTAATAATTTTGCCTAAGATTGCATAGCTCAGAAGTGGCAGAGCTCGATTCAAGTTTCAGCAGACTGGCTCTGGAATCTACACTGCAGCCACCATGCTATGTGACGCTATACATCTTGCCCTTTAGTGAGTGTTCGCTATTTGCCTATTGTTGTCCTCATTTAGCACATATGAAAACTAAGATCTGGGTTGGCTCAGGTCGCCTGACTATTAAGAGATGGAATTAAGTTAAATGGATGTCTTTTTTGGCTCCTCAGTAGCATGGCGCCTCTCCATAAATCATGGCCCTCAGTGGGACTTCCAGAAGGGTCCATTCGTCCCTTAGGAGTGGCTGCTGTGGCAGACTGGAACCCCTGGGCTCAGGGAGGGGAGGCAAGCAGGGGTGACATCTCAGAGGGCAAGAGCTGGTCTCCACTGCTGACGCCAGACCCTTTATTTTCCCCCTCAGGTGAGCAGTGCCCCCCCACAGCCCCCTCAGCCCGTCGCCCCACCCAAGCCTGTGCAATGTGTCCATCATGTCTCCACACAACCCAGCTGCCCAGGACGGGGCAAGATGTCCAAGCTGCTGAACCCAGAGGAGATGACCTCGAGAGATTATTACTTCGACTCCTACGCTCACTTTGGGATCCACGAGGTAAACCGTGAGGAGCTGGTGGCAGAACAGGGCAGCTCAGCCCTGCTGTTTCTTCACTGTCCTCTGAGGCAGCCTAATGTGTTCATCTGTCTACTGTCTTAAAGTGGGTTTTCCTAGTGGCTCAAGGCCTCTGGCCCTCCTTCCCTCCTGTGAGCCTCTCTGGGAGAGGGTCAGAGCCAGGCCCAGAGCAGGTGAGTAGCTGAAAGCATGTGTCTGTGTGTTTCTCAGCCAGAGAGCAAGGGGTGCTTAGGGTTTCTTTGTTTTATGGTCCAGCGCCTGTGTCTCTTCTTGACCCTAAGTTCAGGTGATCCAGGCGGACCGATGTCCTTGTTCTAAGTCCTGGCTCTGCAGGAGATGCTCTGCAGCTCGAGTCCTAGATGCTGAGAGGACCTCCCAGAGGCCATGACATCAGTCTTTAGGCAGGCATGAACATGAACCCTTAGGCCCTAGACCAATGAGCACCCCCAGGGGAAGAAATGCAGGAAGCTTCCTTGAAGACCTGGCCCAGGTCTGTCACCCTGATTGATTCTCAGGAAATTCTTGTGTCTAAATGCTTGCCTTATACCACAGCAAGGAAGATTTATATTAGCTGTAGAACAGAGCAGAGCTTCCTAACCAGAAAATTCCTGGCTGGGGTTGGGCTCCTGCCCCCATCACCTCCAGCATTTTCCTAAGCCAGTCAGGTTGCAGAGTGCTTACTCATTAACTGGGTGTTTATTCAGTGCCAGGCATTGTTCTAAGCACATCATACGTATCATTTCATTTAGTGCTCCTAAGAACCCTATGAAGAAAATATTTCTATTATCCCCTTACTGTATGAAGAAATAGTGAAAAAGGAACGAAGCCTTGCTTGCTTTGTAAATGCATTTTCAAATAAATCTCAACGTTTCTGTTTCAATCAGATGCTTCTGTAAGCCCTCCCTATATCAAAATGTCACTGCCAGACGAGTGTTTAAAAATAATAGCCAGCACTTTTTCCTTTTTTTTTTTTTTTTTTTTTTTTTTTTTTTTTTTTTTGAGTGCTTACAACATGCTGGGTGTTGTTCTGAGATTTTACATTATTGGCTCATTTATTCCTCAGGTCAGCCCTATGAAGTTGGTATTATTATTTGCCCCCAAATTATTTGTAATTATTTGTTTTTTTAATAAGCAAAATCTTTATTATTTAGTATTTACCCCTTTTGTTTATGTTTTAACATCATATATTCCTTTAAAAAAAAAAGCACATTGTTCTATATGCCACCCAGCCATCTACTTATAGAAGTAATACAAGTTCATTATAATGAACTTGAGGAATACAAGAAGATTATTAGTCCCCAGTTTATACATGAGGATGTAAGACCTTAAGAATCCAGATCAACTTACATTCCTCACTTCCTTTGCTTATAAGGTCACAAGCTAATAAATGGGAGAGCTAGAAATGAAACCTTCACATTTGGGGCCCAGGGCCTTCATTCAGAACTTCCATGCCATATAGACTTTAAAACAGGTCTTTCGTTCTTCCTGGAAATTTTGATTTTTTTCCTGCTGGTTCCTTTGCAATTCCATGTGGAGATAGAGAGTGAGGGAAGTGTTCCTCAATGAATTCTAGACTCAGGGACCTGGCCCATTCACCCGAGAGAGACTCAGGGTTTGGTCTCCCAGGAACTGCTGTCCACATAAAAGTGTTAGGCCTGGGGTCTGCAGGGGAGGAAGACTGGGTCCTGTGTGTGTTCTGGGAGTCCTGGCCCAGAAAGGCCTGGGCCAGCTAAGCCTGCCATTCTTGGTGGCTAAGATGTCATCTTTGGGCAGATAAGTGAGCTGCTGTACCTTCCCTGATCCTGTTCCCCATGCTGGTGGGGATTGGAGTGAGGTGGTGCACTGAGCCCTGTCCTAGGCCTGTGAGAAGTTTTGGGAGCAGAAAGGGGGCATCTTCAAGAGTTCACCCTGTCCCTAATTCATGTGACAAATTCTAACAGGTGTGTGGCTCTGGGTACCTATTTCAAGGCAGATTCCTAGGAAGAGATGCTAGTTCCCCAAAATGCCTCCCCTTGGGCTTGCCTGGAACCACCCCCCCCCCACCATGAGAAACCAGCTAATTATGACATGTACCTGGTGCCTGTCCTTCCCCATCTTCAGGAGCCATTCCTCCAATGGAGCCTCCTGTGACTGACGTCTGGGACACCTCCATCTGAATGGCTGCATTCTTGCTGGGCCACAACTTTGGCTCCTAGGATGTGCTCTCCTGTGCTATGATTAATCTCTGTAATTCCTTCAAGAATTGCTTCCCCTGCCTCTAACCCAGGGCTTGATGCACTGTCTGATTTTGCTAATCTGATCACTCAGGTGATGTCTGGTTAGCACATCAATGGGCATACCAGAAAGTATGATCTCCAGCAGGAGAAGACACCAAGGGTCATCAAATAAATACTATACCAGCTTTCCTCAATTTCATGTATTGATAGAAAAACCTAGTACATGAAACATTGGTAGAAAATTAGTACATGAACATATATAAGCATTGTCCAGAATGAGCTAATAAACATGGAGTAAATGACCTTCAGGTCATATATAACATTTCTTTCCTTAGTAACCTGACCTGGAATAGTTTTAGCAATACTTTGCATCTGGAAGTACTTCTGATGCTTAGCTCAACTGACACTACTAGATTAAATCCCTCCTACTGCTGCCGTAGGCCATCTCTAGATCTGGGTTCTGGGGAAATGTAGAGGTCTTCAGTGTCAGGGTGGCTACCTAGGCTTCCTTCAACCTTGAGGCTTCCCTCCACCCTATTTGGTCTCCAAGATCATCTGGTATAAAAAAAAAGTAGGGGGGCATGTGGACGGACTCTTAACATTGTTCTTTGCAGAGACAGGGCCTGCTTGTTTCTCATTATCAAGCACCAGGGATCTCCGTTCTGTGCCAGACAGCTCGCGGTGATGCCTTTGCCTCCTCAGTCTGGACAAGACCCATACCTCACCATCCGGAGCCGAGCTGGCCGTTTGGCAGTCTTCTCCCATCATTAACAAGATGCTCACAGGGGCGGGCAGCAGTACCGCCAGCTTGCTGATTAATAGTGATCAGTGAGTGTTTAGGAAACATGGTGTGGGATGGATTGGGTTTGATTAGTCTGTGAATACGAACAAGAGGTGTCAAGTTTGGGAGAGGGCACTGCTTGGGGCTGGAGAACACAGCAAGAGGTGATTCTGGATACTTCTATACTTCCATTCCATGGCCCCATCCAGCGATGACTCTGTACTCAGCCTCCAGAAGGAAGACTGTGACATTCTGTCACAGGGCGTCTCTGAGAGGAATGGAATCTTGAACAGGAGAGGAAGTGACAAATGTGTGCCTACTGAGGCTTCTGTTCAGAGGGGAGGGGGCCAGGACCATGACCTCCCAAATCTCAGCTCTGAATTCCCAGCATCTTTGACAGTTGGTCCTGGGCTTGGTTTCTCAGCATCCAGAAGACTCCCTGCCGGTGGGGCTGTGTTCCCAGCCCCCAGCTCTGGATGCCCATCCCATTCCTGGCCAGCTCTCTTATTTTGACAATCTTGCTGCAGGTTCTTTTGAAATAGATTCTTCAGGGCCTCATTTCCCAGCAATTAGTCAATGTGCTGTTATGTGTTTAATAGGCAGGGAAACTGGGAGACAAAGGCATCCACAGCTGGGGGCTGGGAATTGTTTTCAACAAAGAGTGACATGCTCTTGTCTGAAATGTCTGGAGACTTCTTTGGGCTATTCTCTCCTAGGGATGATTAAAGCAGGGGTGGAGAAAGGGGAGAGAGTTTCCCTTTTGATGGGTCAATCAGGGGAAGCCTTGCTAAGTCACAACTCTTCTCCCAGGACTTGTACCTTTGGACCCAACTCCTGTGGTCTGGAGACTTAGAGGGAAGAAGGGGTCCAAGAAGTGATGGAAGGCATTGAATCAAAGGTGGGATGCTGGGAACCTCTTCTTTAGCAACAACAGAATCTGCTGAAGTACTGGACCAATCTAATTCCAGCAGGGCAAGCACTAAGGACTTCCAGCTATGGCCATGATGACAAACCTCCAAAAACTTTGCCATTATTTTGCTTCCATTCCTCAACTACTGCTCACCCTCAACTGTTTCCTTGCATGGATAAAAATGGTGACAGCTGTCACAAACAGCCAGAACTAACACTTTTGTAACACTTACTACATTTATTTAATCATCACAACAACCCAATGAAGTAGGTACTGTTATCATTCCACCTTCAGCAGGGGAAATTGAGACAGGCTAAATGATGTTCTGGGTTAGGGAGGTCAAAAGCATGGGATCTATGAGTTGAAGAAATAGATGTGAATCAATTTCTAAGACTGATAAAAACAACAACGAACCAGCAACCCTCTGTATTGATTTTCCCAAGCAATAAAACCACATATGGAACAGCTACTGCAATTGGAATCTCCAGCTGATGATGTTTATGATAATCTACAGTCACTCTCCAAGATCTGCCTCTGTCTTCTGCACAGGCAAACAGGTCACTTAATTGGGGATGTGGGTCTCCTGGAATTGGTGTCCTGAACTAATGGGTCTCATGGAATTAGTGTCAGTTCAGATCCAGGGTCCAATGATCCTCCAAAGTTTGTTTATTTTCCTTTCTCCAATGTAGTCACACTGTACTGTGGTAATGGCTGCAGATCCTCTTGGTGAAGACTTGAAGAAAGATTAACAATATCCATTTTTGGCAATGTAACAAGGGTTTTCTTCATGGAACGTGGCCTTTCCTTCATTCAAGGGGTTCTGGTTCTGTTAACTGGCTCAAGTCTGGGAATCAATTGAGGGGCATGACTCTAGATTTTGGCAATTCAAAACAGACCTCTGTTCACTGGACCTATAATTTTTCTGCTTACACAGATCAAGTAAGAATTCAGTATGCTTCCCATTTATTTATTTTCTAGAGACACTATGATCTCTTTTCTAGAGACCTATGGCCAACACCACATATCTCTGAAATCAGACTGTTACGCTTTGGCTCCAAGCCCTTTGCTGTAACCA